TACGCGTCGCCGCTGACGTGTTGCGTTTATTACGCGTCGCCGCTGACAATGCAGAAATGTGGGCCGGTGTTGTGCCAAAAATCAATTTTTGCCAAATGGCGGCCATGGGAGCGTGCAGGGGAGGACTTTAACAAGAATTTAACAAGATTAACACTTAAAAAACAATAATTTGTTTCTCGACATTATAGTAAAGGTGTGTCTCAGTTTATCCTGATGCTGCTCAATAATCCAGGTAGAAAAATCTCAGTTTAACTTTTCCTTAATAAATGCACTTTGACGTTCAAATCAGCTGCATTTCTCCTGGGCGGCGGAATGCAGCTGATTTGACGTTTATTCCAGGAGTTCGGGAGCGAGACAAAGGTGGATTGGTATGGCAAGCCAAGTGTCTCATTAATAGCCACTTTTACCTATTAATTACACACTTGGCTTGCCATAATAGTCGAGGGCCCTCTAGCAGCTGAAAATGGTAGTGTTCAAAATTTTTTGTCAGAATGAGGGAAATTGTCAGATCTCAGCCAAAAATTGATTATAAATACGGGGAAAAACATAAATAAATTGCTTCACTGTATAAGTTGCAGGCATGATAATTTATGCAAAAAACTGTGACTTATACAGTGAAAACTACGGTAGTTGGATTTTAAATTTCTTCACTGCCAAACACCAGAATGTCAGAGAGATGGTTTAAGAACCAGGACTCCCCTCAGATCCTGTGGTTCCGCTCTCAGCTGAGCAGAACAAGAACTTTTGGAGGTTCTCTTTTTAGTATCTATGCACCGAGACTGGAACGCACTGCTGGAGGATCTGAAGAGTCCTGAATCTGGACTCTCTTAAACGTCGACTAAAAACACGTCTTTTTATGGACGATAGATTCTTTAGCTTTAGCTTTTTTCAGTAAAACTCTTCGAATTGAATGAAAACTTCCATAGAACTAAAACTTTGGTTGATTGATCGATTGATTGATTTGGTTGATTGATTGAGACCACCGAGGTGCTCCACAGAAAGTCCTCTTCCATCTCACTCTGTCCTCTGTCCTCACTCCAACTACCTCCATGTCCTCTCTAACTGCATCCATATACCTCCTCTTTGTCTTTTTCATGGCAGCTGCATTTCTAACATCCTTCTACCAATATGTCCCTCCTCTGGACATGTCCAAACCACTGTCCCTCCTCTGGACAT